CCTTGTTTTTCATCGAAAGTTAAACGAGGATAAAATGATTCTAGGAGCGTTGCGGGCGTTAAGTGGAACGCACCCTTAGTGTAACATGTTACACATGTACGCCATATTATACTAAGCTATACTATATACGCTATAATTCTCTATCTAGTAGGAACCAAAATGGCGGATAAGAATACCTACATATCTAGTGCCTTAGTGCAACTAATTCCGAGCGCCGATATATAGCATGTGAGCTATTGTTTTTGTTTCAAAAAATTCAACACATGTAATAGATTTTTGTTCAATTCAGCTTTGTATCTATTTTATAATAAATTTGGAATGAATGTAATTTAGCGTTTTATCTCTTTAAAGTTATGTCAAAAATAACATTAAACTCTTTTTTTTTAACATCTGATTTGTATCTCAAGCTTTTTTGAAAAGAATCACATATATATAACATATAGGTTTAGTCACATATACATGGGTTTCTCTCGCTTACAAAAAGCAAACAAAAGATGAAGTCTTGGAATTAAGAGTAGAATATAAGTGTTCAATTTAAGATTAAAAATTATCCATTAAAGCTTATTGGCTTGTAGAACCATTTGCGTGTATTTTTTCATTGATCCTTTTGTAAAGCAATATAAAATTTAAGCATTACCTAAGGCCATAGTTTTTAATCAAAAGTTGCAAAAAATGCTGCTCAATATTGAATATTAATTTTGTAAAAAAGATATGATACAAGGAATCCATAAAGAAAGAATAAGCTTTTCCATGTTAATGTAAAAAAATTACGTAAAATTACATAAAGATTATATAAAATAAAACTTGTATTCATAATTCATCTATATTAATATATACTTTTTTTTATCATTCGAATACATCGAACTTTTTTAAAGCAATCAGTTTCTCTGAATTCAGAGAAAAGCGAAAATTTTATAAGAGATATATTTTAAAATAAAATATACAATTTTAAATATACAAAATAAAAACAATCCACTACACTGTTCTGTCATAAAAAGAATATGTTTAATGTAGTCAGTTCTTAGTAATAAGGTCTTCTTGGATTATTCTAAAAAAGAAAAAACAATGATCATGAAATAAATTCTTATATATCACATTCTTTTCTCAATATATTTGCTTCTTAACGTAACAACTGTGATTACTTACTAATGGATTAGGCCTAAATCTGTATGCAAGCATCATTCTTTTCCTATATGCATCGAATTCATCATCGTCCCTGGATATCCCATCTGGTCTTTCAGAACCTAGACCTGAGCTATCTAGTCTATTCGTCGCTCTGAAAATGTAATCATAGATTAAAATTTAAAAAATGTGAAATAGCATAATATTAATTAGTAATACTGTTAAGAAAATAGCCGTACTTATTAACTGGTTCGATACGACCGCTACCTTCACTACCCAAGCCTTGTCCTTCGCTCCATCCAAGTTTTTGTAACATTTGAAAACCTATAAGTAGAAAAAACCGTATTGAGACCGCTTTATTTGTTGAATTAAAGAATATTTTATTATGTGTGTGATAACTTGAAACATACAATTTGAGAATTAACTACTAGAAATATATTAGGTGCTTGCAAAAGTTCGTAAGGTCAGAAATAGATAGTCGATGAATGGATGGATTGCCTCAAAAGATGACTCATTTTATCGACGTGGGATCCAATTATTATCCGAAAAGTGGCAAAAAATTGTTGAAAGCAACGACCAATATTTTGATTAAAATATTACATTTTATGGTATTGTTATTAATAAATAAAAATAGGTTTAAAATCATACAAACTTTTGCAAGCACCTAATAATTATTAAATTCAAGTAATTATTTGTTAGAAACAAATAATGTTGACAATATAGTTCTTTAAAAATATACCTATATTATCTTCCTTCAACTTGTATTCTTTATAATCGCTCAAATCGGGTTCTTTTCCTTGTTTTACCGCGTTATACTGTTCCATAAATTTTTTCAACTCGTCTGGTGGCAGAAAATCGCCAATATGATGTTTGCCTTCTGCCTGCGCGGTTAATTCCTCCGCCCACATTTGCGTTGCTTCCATTTCAGCAGATCTCAGTTTATGTTCCCAAGTTCCACCTTCTGTCTCTTCATCGCTATCGTATTCATATTTGTGCCTTCCTTGCGCTTCCAAGCGTTTTACTTCTTCCTTTTTCTTTAAGAGATTTTGATACAAGAGATTTATCTGCAATGTATGTACCTTATTAATTTCTTATATATTAAGAAATAGAAACAATTGAAAATTAGGATGTAAATTCAAGAATGAAAAATAAAACACTTAAGATAAAATATTATTACATTTGAAAATTTTAATTGGAAATTAACGATTCCAAAAACATAGGAATATCATGTTTTGCAATCATTAATAGATGGGAAATAATTTCTTTTAAATGACGTATGTATGCATCGTTAAAGGCTTATAATTGCTCAATCAGAATTCAATCTTCATACAGCAATTCTAAAAATTCCTGTATTTCTGGACACATACGCAATAATCATACAGGCGATAGACACACGTTACGATCGATGCAACGACAATCTACCTTATAATGATCCTCTGCCTTTTTCCATTGTTCTTCGCTTAGATCGAGGGTACCAAAAGTTTGCTTCGCATAATGAATAAGTGCAGGATCATTCCGTGAAATCTTAGTAAGCATCGGATTTTTTGACTTAACATGTTGTCCCTTTGACGGAGGAGGTATTATTACTGCAGGTTGCCCAATTTGCGCCGGTATAGCTATGCCTGGTTGCGAAAGTATGGCACTCGGCCTATTATCAGAAGATACATTCGCTTCTGTACTGAGAATCTTGGTATTGGAATCACTCCAGCGGCTACGTCTTTTCCTTTTTCGTTCTTCCTTATTATCGTCCTTTGGTTGATCTACTAACAACAACATATTGATTAATAAAGTTTTATTACAAGTATCGTTAAAATTATGTGTTCTCTATTTTATTCACCATATAGAGTCATGTGAGATTTTTGAGATTTATCCACTTCATCATTGTCACTAAGAGCTTCTTCGGGACAATAAAGTTCTGCACCACTGTAATTCTTCTTATCCTTATCTGGCTTCTCGGCACGTAATTTTGAAACCAATCCCCTGTACTGCAGATACGCTGCACTTTGCTTTTGGTGCAGAAACCTTGATTAAAATAATACTTAAAACACTGTCTAGTAACATGTATTCCTAGATACAATACTTTCATAGAAACAGTGTAACGATAATGTAAAAATAAAGATAACTATAAATATCTTCAATCGCTGATATTCTAGAATCCAATATCGCAATATATTTAGCAATTTGCTAAAGGTTGTCATTTACTTTGAGTTTGATGAAAAATTCAACTATTTTGCCATTCACTAATTTCACTGTGATTAATTTCTCTTGCGTGAATCTATTATTTAAAAAAGAAGAGTAATTTTCCTGAATTCGAATCCAGCATCAAAAATGCATAATGCATTAGAATTTTCGAAAAAAGAAAAACCATGTATCATAAACGCATTCAACAATGTGTTTGATTATTTCAGAATACTAATACATCTATAATAATTACAATATGTACATAATATTAGATATTAATATTATTTACTGTAATAAATATATAATTTTTATTTCAAACAAACACATAGTAGAACAAAATTATATTTAACATTATAAATGTAACAAGAGAATTAGAACTTTGGAAATTTTTCTACGTATGAAATGGAAGTGAATAGACATTTTTCTCTTTTTAAATAAATTACATTATGTGACATAAAGAAGAATAAAAATTCAACTTTAATATACAAAGCGCTATAATTATCCTTACACAAATATCTATGAAAATAAAATATGGATATTTTTAGATATTTAGTGATATAAATATCTTTGGTACATCTTTACGTATTCCTTCAAACTTGATTTTCTTATAATTTTCATTACTTAATCATCGATGTTTCTCTTGAATAAATACATTGAAAATCAGATAGTAAAAATTCAATACTTGAGAACAAATTTAAAAATTTTAAAAAGTATCATGTTTTCGGTAACATTTTTGTATTATACAAAATTTTTTTGATATATTAAATATTATTCAAAAGCAGAAGTAAAACATGAACATTGAATAATTGAATTTTAAAGAAAAAAATAAACAATTCCATATATCGATTTATAAAAATGTGTCATACACAAATATATATGTAACATTATTGTAATTAGAAGAGAGTATATGCAATATAAAAATATTGGTATTGCTTTGTTGGTAATTTTATAAAATCATGTATCGTAATCATAACTAGTCATTTAAATAAAAAATTTGAAACAAATAAAAAAGGAGGGGAAAAAAGAGAAAAAAGAAAATGAGCAGGTGTGTACAGAGGGAGAAAAGCCCGAAAGAAAAACATATGTATAAATTTCAATAGTAAGCAAAAAAAGTTCTTTTGTCATATTATATTAGAAATACAATCACTATTGTTTGCAATAATTCACGCTAAAGAGACATTAACAAGATTGTACATTCAATTTCCTGTTATTTGAGACATATTATCAAAAATTACTGATTTATACAAAAAATATCCTATAATATAAAATAAAATCTAAGAATATTGCATAAAATTGATTACACAAAATAGAAAAAGAGGAGGAAAGAGGTTTGAGAGAGGGGGAGAGAGAAAGGAAAGAAAAGGAAATACAAAGTAGATTAATGAAAAAATAATTACCATAATTTAGGATCTTGGACATTTTTCTCTCGCACTTCCTGTTCAATTTCATCTCCCCATTCAGCCACGAAGCGTGCTAGTTGTTCAGCTTCTACTGGACACACTTAAAATCTTTTGTCAGATATGCTTTATATAATATTTCAATCGTACACATATACATACACACACGCACACAAAATCTTTCTAATAATATTAAAATTGTGTAAGAGTTAAAGTAAAATCTTTAATACACTCATAGCTAACATTATTATATAATTCAAGTAAATATATTCGTTAATCATACCATACCTTGTTGTTCAGAGCTTTGTAGATTAGTCGGCGGTGGTCTCACAGGTGGTGGTATTTGAACATTAGGAGGACCCACCGTGATAGGCATCTGATTGGAAAGAGTATAGCCGGTAGACATAAGAGCACGCGTGGGTACCGTATTAGGAATGACAGTGGGCGGTGGGACATTTGGCGGTGGAATATTTAAGTTTGGCGGTGGAATTGAATTGATTGTCGATGGCACGGTATGCACTGGCGGAGGCGATGACATTATCATAGACGTTATCACACTTGGAGGTGGAATATTAGCTACGTTTGGTACTGTCACAACAATTGCTTGTGAGCCCGCAATAGGCAACATGGTCGGTCGCATTTGCGACATTGGTGGCAAAATGTTTGGTGGTGGGATGTTAGGTGGAGGAATATTAGGAGGCTGTAAATTAGCATTGCACGCCATAGGCGATATGCTGCATTGTGGATTTTGTATAATATGTTGTTGTCCGTTCGACGACGAGGATAAATTAGACATTGGCACTGCTTGGGAAATTCGCATATTTGGTGGTGGAATATTTGTATTAGGTGGAATGTTTTGAATAGGCGGTGGTGGAGGAGGAGGGGGAGGGGGATGTATAATGTGCGATGGTGGTGCAATTTGCATGCTAACATTGTTAGAATGGTCATTCATATTAGTGTAGTTATTGTTAAAATTTTTCGACACTGATAACCTTTGCAAAGGTGCAGATGGCACGGTCGATGTCAAATTTCTCAAATTGGGTGGTGGTATGCTCGTTATTTGCATCTGGATGGGTTGAGACATGAGAGATGGGATGGAAGAAATTTGATTATTGTTCTGAATTGGAAATTGTTGATTAAACTGTGCGCGCTGACCATTCTGAGGTTGATAACTACGCCGTATTTCAGGGCTAGGCGGTGATCTTCGTCTAGTAGGCGACGGACTCGAGGAAGAACTATGCTTCCTATCCGAATTCCTTCCCCAACGTGAATCATTCCTTATACGATCTCGTCTGCTATCCCAATCTCTATTTTTTTCATGCCTGTGCCTGTCTCTTTCCCTAATAGCTTCATAAGTTTTCTCATCTTTTCTTCTATCCTCAGATTTATCTTGTTGCATCTCTTGTTTGCCAGTTCCTTTATTAGCAATCTTTTTAAATTGATCGAGAAAACTACCATCATTGGCAAACACATTCATAGAAAGAGATGCAATTGATTTTTCATCTTCTTCTCTACAGATAAATAATAAATTTTACTTTTAAATAATTTCTATTTTTAATTAATCGATATCGGTATTACAAATAAATTATAATAGTAAGTTTAGACAAAAAACTGATTTCATGCGTTATAAATAGATCCAAAAAAGACTTACTTTGGAGTATTGCCTTTACTGGTTGTTGTAGTCGAGGTTGACTTCTTCATGCATTCTACGGCTTCTTTTGCTTTCTGTTCTTGTAGTTTTGCTTGAATTTCCAACTTCTTCTGCTGAATAATTTGTTCTTGCTTTGACATTTGCGCAAAGCGTTCATTTCGCGAAGTTTTTGACACAAACGGATCAGATCCCTTCACACCACGATACGCCATTTCTGTTGTTCGACGATGTGTTTCCTTCAGGAGGTCGTAACTCCCCTCTTAAAAAGTAGGGAAAGATTCAAACGCCACCATGCTTTGTACTCCAGAAATGGAGAACTAATACTCGCGTTCTACGAAGTTTAAAGAGTTAGGCTGAATTCCCACTGAGTGCGTCGCGTCACGCGTCACCAATCAAAACACATATTTTATATGTGTTGTATAAT